GTGGCAGGGACATCTCTTAGGACTTCCTCTGTAGAATCCCCAAAGTGCCCTAAGGATTCCCTTACCCATCCCACCTTACCTATCCCAAAGAAAGGAGCTAAAAACCACAAGACAGATTCAAATTAGGTATCAGGAAGAGTTTCTTGATGATGAGTAAAAGGCACTGGAGAGACAATTTGAGGAGAGAAAAGACCTTTAAGGGGGCTTTCCCTTCCTTCCAGGTTAGGGCTAGCAAAAGATGCTGCAGGTGCTTGAGGGCCTGGGTTATCTAAGGTTGAGGTTTTACCTGCTGGAGCATCCTCCTTCGAAGTGGTCAGCCAGGGTTCTGGGTTGCAGGAGGTACAAGGAGTACTATCCACCGAGTCATGGGACCATGGGCTGGGGTATGGTTCCAACGAAGGGCTCAGTTCTGGAGGAATCTCACACGAGTCACTCCAGAGCCTGTGGCATGAGAGAAGACAAGGACCACACACAGGTGAGGGCTTTTCTGGGGTGACTCACTCACTCCTATTCTTCCCACCTAGTAGGAGCAACCAAAATGAGATGCAAGGCAGGCCCGGGCAGAGAGTGAGCCTGTCCTTTCCCTTGCCAATTAGGAGACAGGGGAAACTTTTATGAGAGCCTCAGAGGCTCCCTGGGCCAGTTTTATTACAGGGTTAGGGTTTGGGTTGGGTTGGGGCTACAAATCCTCTGGGTCAGCATGCTGTGGAGGAGGAATAAGACACTGGGGAAACAGAGAAGCCTTGTGCCCTATCTTCCACACTAGACAGAAATATCCTAGTTCTGTGTAGCCAGTCGTTGGTGGGGAGGGGAGGCTGGAGTCATCTCTTGCTGCTCCAGGAAAGGTGTGGTGTGGTAGGGAAATCACAGTTCAACCACTCACTGGGTGTGTGATCCTGGGTCAGCCACATCACCTGCCTTCATTTCTTACCTTGAAAATGGGGACAGTTAAATCTGCCTCATAGGAGTGGTTGTGAAGGTCAATGAGGTCATGGTTTGACAACACCACACAAAGTACGAATCTGAGTATTCACTCAGAAGATAAACACTGTTAGCGCTACGACTAAGGGTTGATGATCCATTTGGGAGCACTAATCAGGTGAACAGTCCAGTGTCAACCTCGAGAAGGTAAGGATTTCAGGGAGCAGAATCCATCTGGGAGGTGGGGTGTTGTGAGGCTGGGCCTAAGCCAATCTTTGAAGAATGGTTAAGGGACCCTCAGACTTGGAATTTTCTAGGCCTTGGCGCCACCCCTAGCAAGGAGAGATGAGGCTGAGGGTGAGGCGTGCCTGCAATGGATTAACGCTGGTGGAGACTTTCTTGAGGCTCTGAACACATCAAGTCTTTAAAAAATGCAGGGATAGGGACTTCCATAGAAGCTGGAAAAAGGACAATTCAGGTGGAAACAGGCATCAGGACTGTGTTGGACACACTGACTCTGGACACTGACTGTACCCCATCCAAGGGACAGCCATGCAGAGGGCTCCAGAGAACAAAGCTCTTTCAACTGGGAACTCATCTGAAGCAATAGGTGCAGAGGCGCAGCACAACAGGTTTGGGGTTTGAATCCAAAGCCCAAGGCCCCTGGCACAGAACCCAAGAACTGTCTAAGCCTTACTCTGTTTCCTCCTTTATAAAACGGAGTGATAATATCCAGATCTCACACGGCTAAATGAAGGATCAAAGGGGCTAATACCTGTGAGAGCGCTTTGCAAATGTTATCACGATGCAGCATCAGCTCCCAGCTGGAGTCAAGTGAGATCAGAGCAGTTTTCTGCAGTTCTCCCAGCTCCAGTCGGTTTTGCGGTTACCAGCCAAAAATTTCTGGAAAGGGTGTGACCACTGTGGGCAGAAGGGAGAAGGTAATGAGTAAATGGAACACCGAATCAAGGCAAGTGGCAACCTGATCACCAGTCTCTCCTTCTCAGCCTGTTTCTTTCTAGGCATGGAGGACAGTGGGTGGGCAGACGCTGAGAAAGTCTGGGTAAGGGTCTCGTGAGACCAGCTGGCTCCGCCCCCAGGTTCCCGGGGGGAACCAGGGACTCCTGGTCCGGGCGACGTGCCGCCAAACCCAGGGCTGGGATGCCGTTCCGGAAGCACCTGGCACGGGGAGAGTATGTCCTTCCCAGGAAGGTGGACGTGACCCCAGCCAAGGGCGCAGCTGCCCTGACGCCTCCCGGGACCAGACGCCCCCTCCCGGGGTCCTGAGCTGGGCGAAGAGTGGAGCAAGTACCCTCTCCCCACCCAGGCCGCCCCCTGCCGGCCAGGTGGCAAGGTGGAGGGTGATCAAGAAAGGTTGTTTCAAACAAGAGTGAAGAGCTGGGCTACCCCCTCGTGAGGCACAAGACGGTCAAAAGGAAAAGGGAAGAAGGGAAACGGCGCTTTGGAAGGGGAGGTGGAGATGCCTCCTGCCTCAACGCTGCGGGGCAAACTGGCCTCCCAAGCCCCTTCCGCGTCGCGAAGGGCTTCAGATCTGGGCTCGGGGTGACACTCACCGGTCCCACGGCCCGAGCCGCCGTGCTTAAGGCCCCCGCCCGGCCAGACTGGAAAGGCGGGCGGGCTAGGTCAGGCGGCGGGAAGAACACGGGGAGGGGAGAAAAGAGGAGGAGCAGAAGCAAGCAGTGAGGAGAGGCAGCTGGGACCGCCGCACCGCACCCCGTCGGCTGCGGCTCTAGCTAAGTGGCCGGGGGTCGGCCGGCTCCTCCCCAGGGGCGGGGCGCGCACTCGCCGCGCGGGGCTTGGCCGGGACGCCGGGTCCGGCTTGCGGGTTCCATCAACGGTGAGATGTTTTGCGACCCAGGGGTAAAATGAGGGTAAAGCGGCAGCTTCCCACGTTCTGGGGGAGAAGCGCGGAAGCACAGTTTCCTGGGCCTTCGGGCGCCCCCAGGGCTAGGGGTCTTTCAGTAGACGTCGCCGCGGCAGAGTCTTGTGCGGGTCCCGCGGACCCCATTACCCCGATAGGGCCTCGCCGTGAGGTCTGAGGGGCCGCGTGAGGTGCATGGCGCGCCGTTTCCTCTGCTGGCGCTCCTCTCAGGGCTACAGCCCTAGAAGATCTGGCCTGCACCAGCCCAAAGGACATAAGGACAGGAGTGGGTAGCCCACGGGACACTGGGACGAGCGCCATCATGGGCGGAGACGCGCGGAACCTGCTGGCCCGGAAGTGCAAGCTACGCCCGTCGGCGGAAGCGCCGCGCGGGAGGCGGAAGCGGCTGGTGTCCGCGTGGTTTGGCGGGTGCCGCGGGAGTCCGGCGGCCCTGCCCACGTAGACCCTCTGCTGGGGGCGCCGGCACCAGTTGAAGCACGTGAGGTATACGGGCAGGGCGCGGCCAGGTCGGGCGTCTGTCAGGAAAAAGACTTTTTATGTTTATTTTTTAAGAGACGGAGTCTCCCTCTGTTGCCCAGGTAGGAGTGCAGTGGCGCGATCTCGGCTCACTGCAGCCTTCAACCTCTGAGCTCAAGCGATCTTCCCTCCTCAGCCTGGCGAGTGGCTGGGATTACAGGCGCGCACCACCACGCTCAGCTAATTTTTAATTTTTCTTTTTTTTCACTCCTGGCCTCAAGCGATCCTCTCTCCTCCCAAAGCGCTAGGATTACAGGCATGAGCCACTGCTCTCGGCTAGGACTTTTTATTTTTAACGATCCACTGATTTGACCATTATTTTTAATGGTCAACTGTGAGGTATTGTCGCAGGTTGCAGACAGGCCATAATGCATGCATGCATTCACTTACTTATTCACTTCATGTTACACTGAGAAGCTCTAGGTTCATGTTTGACCAACAAATGTGTCCTTCCAGTATGCCGTTTTTCAGACAATTATGTGTGGCATTCAGAGGTGTTTTGCAGCCCTTAATAAAAGAGCAGCCAACACTAGTATGTGTTATACATCCATTCTTAATTGCACCCATCGTACCTACTTCCATCCTAACCTGAAAACGTAGCTGTCTGGAAATGAGGGAAGGAGCAGCCTGGGGATCCAGAAATCACTGCAGGGGTCACGTTTTGTACCGAGGCAGTAGGTTTAGAGAGGCTCTGAACTGGAACCAAGGCCCCCAACTTCAAAATGTACTTCGCCCCTAGCCTTTGAATTTGCATTAAAGTCATTAGTAAAGTCTATTCAATTTTCATCAAAGAATCTTCATGGTATGTACTGTGCTCCATAATAGAAATTCCCATCTGTCTATGATGCCATTCTCAGAGTTTATATCCCAAATTCGCTTTCTTTTCTTTTCCTTTTTTTTTTTTTTTTTTTTTTT